TCTTTCCGTGCCTCCTCCACCTCCTCCTCCTCCTCCTCATCCTCCGCCTCCTCCTCCTGATTCCTGATTCCTGAAGGCATACTGTACGAATTCGACGGAATCTGCCCCCCGCCCCCCCACCCCCCGGGCCGTTCGGCCCTGGGGGGTTGATTAACCCAGTGAGCCAGGCGACGCCTGTAGCATTCGCTCTGGGAGTCGCCGGCTGGTGGCAAATGCATCTGAGAGGGAAGGCGGCGGCAGAGGTGGCAGACCTGCGGAAGAGGAGAGAGGGGAGGCAGGAGGGGGAAAGGGGGGAGAGGGAGTACAGCGAGCGGCTTGAATAAGGAACACTTGCTTCTCAAAAGGGGCTCGGTCGTTCCTTAGGTTTGCATGCTTTGTTCATCGTTCCTCCATGCGTTTTTGATTATACATGCACATATATATATATATATATATATATATATATATATATCCCTGGGGGGCAGGCCCGGGGCCCACAAACAGCTGCCCCGACCCCCCATGGGAGGACGGGGCGGCCAGGGACCCGGTCGTTCAGGGAGACCGCGGTTGGAGGCAGGGTGGCCCGAGGAAGCCCCCAGAGGCCCCCAGAACACGCCCAGGAGGCCTCCAGAAGGCCTTAAGAAAGCCTGAAATAACTTTTGTGAGGCCCCCAGAGGCTCTCCAAGGAGGAGCCTCCGCAAAAAGAGCTGAGGAGGATGGGGAGAATGCGCAGGGTATGGCGAAACTGAGGAAAAAGGAGGAAGGATAACGAATCACATTATCATAGCGGCGATGCCGGAAAAGGCAACAAGGAGTTATCGCTAAATTGTCGGCTTGACCTTCTTGCTATCCCGCCTGCATACCAAATTTCAAGGACCAGGGTGCATGGCGCGAAGCGCCACCGCAGTCTTGTATACATATATATATATATATAAAATATGCACCGACATGTGCGTACATCGCTGCTTACGCGTAAAAACCTATCGAAAAAATACGGGTTTCGTTCCTCGTGTATCGTTCCTTAGGTCCGGCCGATGGCTGCAGGACGCCTGGCGGTTGGCAGCGGCGACGGCGAGGGCGACGGCGAGGGCCGCTGCGGCGAGGCGGGCGCGGCGTGCGGCGGCCACGCTCGCTGGAGGAGGGCAGGCGCAGAGGCCTCTTCCCGCTGCCCCCGTGGGGGTCCCCACGGGGAGGCCCCCAGGCTGACGACGGGAACACTCGCCTGCCATGCAGGCGTAGGGCCGCCGAAGAGTGAAGTGGAGGCCTCCGCAGGGCTTCCACCTGGCGAGTGGGAGCGCCGGGGAGCGCCGGGGAGCGCCGGGGAGCGCCTTGGGAGCGCCTGGGAGCGCTTGGGAGTGCCTGGGAGCGCCGGGGAGCGGAGCGCCGGGGAGCGCCTGCGAGCGCCGAGAGCACCTGGGAGCGCCTGGGAGCGCATGGGAGGTTTGCGTGTTCCAGGGCGGTGGCCGCGTGGTATGTCTCCCTCCCCACCCAACCACCAATAAAGCTCCTCCCACCATGTCCCACCCATCCCCACTAGTGCGACTGTGGCGTGGCGTGTGGTCTGGTACAGAAAGGCCATCACGTTGACGGGCGCAGCAATGCTTCGTTGATCAGTGGCACGCCCTGATAGGACAGTGGTAGACGCTAAGAGGAGGAGAAATCAAGATGGCCTGAAGCCAGTGGGGAGTGGGATGGCAAAAGGGTGAGGTGGCAGGTAGGAGCGGTTGCTGCGGTGGTGCGGCATTGCAAAGGTAGGCGGTGAGGGGCACAGTGAAACGAGATGAGACCACCCCTGCTGTGCGAGGCAAAATGTGGCTCTCGATGCCCTGGGGTTTCGTCGGTCAACCCCTAACGTCCGCGATGGCCCGTACAGTGTTGCACGCCAGGAGGTCGCGGAGGACACTGTTGGGGGTCCCTCGTGTGCTTCTCGTAGGTTCTCCTCGCTTTAAGGACCAACCCAGAGGGCACAGATCCAGCGAAATGCGGAGTAGGTGTCAAGCGGTGTCAAGGTGCAGGTCAGGAGGGAGAGAGGAGGGCGGAAGCATATTAGAAGTGGGCCGCCAGTGGGGAGCGGGAGGTTGGACGAGAACTCTCAGTGGGCTAATTGACGGTAGGTCCTTCGTGTCGCTGTCTCCGAGGCCCCACGACGGTGGGATCTAACATGGCACTAAGGAGGCGCGTGAGAGGACTCCATTAGTTTGCGATGATCCCGACCATTGTGGGTGAGAATGTTGCGGCGGGCTTTGGAGCCGTGTGTTACCGCAGACCCACAAGTATTCGTCGGATAAGTGTGGTCACGGGCGAATCACGTCGGCTAAGTAGCATATGTGGGCGAGAATGTCACGGCGGGTGCCCTGTATCACCGAGGGCCCACTGCATATCATAGCCTGCTGAAGGTGTGCTCGCCGTAAGTGCTGTGCAGTGCGATGGCCAAAGAACTGCTCGTGCCTGGGGATCTGTCGTCGCCAGGGGGTGGTGAGGTGGGAGGCGCAGAGAGAGAGAGAGAGAGAGAGAGAAGGTAGTCGTAGTGGTCAACCGTTGCTGCTGCTGGTGCGGTGTGCCCGGTGAGTGCGGCTACGTGGTAGAATTGTCGTGCGAGATACGGTGGGGGCGTTGGTTAAGGAATGTGCCCATGAGGCTTCAGACCCTTGGGGTTTCCTTATCTAATACGGGCGGCGGTGATATCCATGGCCAAACCACGATCGAAGTTCCACTGGCTTCGAGACCCTGGATTCCTTATCCATTGGTTCCTTATCCAATGCCCTCACCGTATGGATGTGGATCGGATCAGCTGGCCGCTGGTGGTGTCTGTTGCCGACAGAAGAGTAAAACTGGACAGATCTGTAGGAGGTGGGTGAGCAGGGGGGAGCTTCCTGATTTACCAGGGTGGTCGGCTACTCGGGCTGGTAAACGATGGCCAACGTGTGCGAAGGGCGGCCACGTGCCCTTGGTGGCTCTTCTCCGCTTGAGCTGGCGGCGTCGCTTGGCAGCTGTTGAGGTGGCGTCAGGTTTGGATCAGTGTGCATGGTCTTGGCGGCGTCGATGGCCTGTTTAGGCGCGCTGCCCAGGTCGTCGCACCTGAGGTAGGCCATGTCTTCGTTGTCGTTGTGGTTCGCATCGGTGTCGGCAATCCGCGGTGTCGTCGATGTCGCTGCCCGTTGTCTGGATGTTGCCGTCGCGATCCTGATGCTGGCTGGTGCCGGCATCCGTTGCGCAGCATCGGTCGCGGGCGCCAGCCATGCGTGGTTCTCCCCGGCCAGGCACAGTCGAGGGAGAGAAGTGGAGCGGGCCCCTGCTGAGGGTGTCGGCGATGTGGGGCAGGTCTCGCAGCCGCGGCGCTGAGCCGGAGGGTGCCGTGCCCGAGCGCGTGGGCTCCGCGGCGCTGGCGCTCTGTGTCACGGTGCTCGGTTCCCCCTGCGTGTGGTGGTTGTCCGTGGCATCTCCCGCATCTGGTGGCCCCCGCTGTCGTCTGCGCCGTGGGTCGCAGGCTGCCCAGCGATGTTGCCAGGTGGGGCGGCGCCCTGGGCCTCGCTCATCAATTTCCTTGCTGGCGGCGCCCCTCTGGAAGAGCGAGGTCGCGAATGGGGCCGCCTCTGAGGTGGGGCTGCAGCAAATACCCAGCTAGATGTGCGTGAGGAGGTCGCGCCGCTCTCGGGCGGCTGCTATTGGCGTCGGTAGGCTCGTGCGGTCGTCCGCCATCGGGTAGGCGACCATCGCAGCCAGCTGGTGGTTGATGAAGTGAGCCAGGACGGTTTGCTGGTGTGTCATCGTGAATAGTCGTGCTGTTGGGAGTGCATCGTAGCGCATGACGTAGCTGAGTGAGGCCATGAAGTATGTCATCAGGACGTCGCATTCGCATCTCAGCATGTTGTCAGGGTCTGTGCCGCAGTCGTAAACAGTCTCGGGGTCGTTGATGTCTGCGATGGCCTCCGAGAACAACCTGTGGACGTGGATCTTGGAAAGGTGGGTGGGTGTTCTTTTCGTAGTGGATGTTACGAATGTTGATGGTCAAGCGCGCGATGGCATCTTGTTGGAGGTCTGCCCCAGAGGATCCTGATCTCATGCCGACATGTGGTTCCTCGACGGGCGTGGTGGCCTGCTCGTATACCATATCTATGTGTGGTGTGGTCGGTGCTTTGACGGTGGCTTTGGCGGGAGGTGGCTTGAAGGGCACCTGCGTAGGTGGTGCGTTCCTGGTGGTCTGTGCCTGTGGTCCGTCGTGTGCGGGCTGTGCTGTCTTTGGAGGGGGCCTGGATGGCACCTCCTGATGTGGTAGCGTGTCGGGTTTCGGCCTGGCCCCCTCCAGCCCCGAGCTCCTGTCGTCAGACAAACCCATGCAGCCTTGCCTTGGCTGCATGGGATGGAGTTCGCGTGCTTTCTGATCGACCAGTCTTTCGTGCTCGCCTGAGCCGCGCCGACGCGCCCTAGGGCGTATGGTTCACCTTTCCTTTCCGTTCCTTCCTGCCTTGGCTGCAGCCAGTGGTGGCACGGTGTCATTCTGTAGGGCGGTGCCTTGGCGGGGGTTGTTGTCGGTGGTGCTCGATAGCGTGGCCCATCCTTTGGTGCAGCACTGGCCCTGGTGTCGTGCTGTGTCGTCGACGGAGGTGCTGCCGTCGCCTCCGCACCCGGGTCGATGTCCAGGGATTGGTGGCGCACCCCGCTGTGGTCATTGACGAGAGGGTTGTCAAGGTCCGTGGAGCTACAGGCCGGAGTGTCTTCTGGTCGTGTGGCTTGTAGGCTGCGGCTGCGGGTGGCTGTGCCGTCTGGATCTCTGTGCTGGCTCTCGTTTTCCCCTCGGAGCCGATGACTGCGCCGGCTCGGTTGCGGGTCGCGTGGCAGATGAGGCGAGCGCGCGGACCGTCAGCCTTCATGTAGGCGAGCATCTGGTCGTTGTCCAGGTGTTGCGGCTCCATCTTGATGGCATCCAGGTCGTTCCTGTTCTCGTGGTCGCTGTCGTGTTTGGGGATGCTGTCATCGAGGATGGATGCGCCCACGTGGAAGGAGCTTGCCTGCGGAGATGGCGACCTTGCCCTAGGATGGGGAGGTAGCTGCAGCTGGCCTCTTGCTGCTATAGGCGGGTTTCTCAACACGTTGTTGTTGACGTCGGAGAAGCACTCGTCGTTCTTGGCATAGACTTCTCTCTTCCATCCGGGTCCCAGCAGGATATTGCCACGGTCGTCCCAGTCCTGGAGGAGGAGGAGGAGGAGGAGGAGGAGGAGGAGGAGGAGGAGGAGGAGTTGTAGTAGTAGTACACCAGGGCGTTCCAGTGAGTTGGGTTCGCGGTTGGATAGACGACCCATGGCCCATGGCCGAGGCGTTAACAGCTTGTGCTGATGGTCGAGCGGAAAGCCGGCTGGGAGGTTTGCTTGCCTCAGTGCTTGTGTCAGCGCGTGCTCGATCCACGCCTGGCAGCTCGGCGGGTAAAGTGGTGGTGGCGGGCACATGGGTAGCGGTGGATCTCCTTGGGGCTGGGGGTGATGGGTGGGGTTGACGGTCAAGACTCGGTTCGCGGTGTTGGAGATGTCGGGGCCGTGATCGTTCTTTCCGTGCTAGCTGCGTGTGGGGCACATGGGGGATGATGGCCCTCACGCGTCTGCTGGGAGAACCCTGATGCCAGCATCGCCTCGTAGTCGTCGTTGGGACTGTTGTGGAAGCGATTCAGCATCTTGGTATGGGCGCTCTGGGCAGCATTTGAGCGCGGGGAGAAGTCGCGCGAGCGTCGTGGCCCCTATTGGCTATCTTCTTGCTTGTCTCTAATGCTGCGGGACGGCTATTCACGGCTGAGGCGGATCCCCACCCTGCGCGCCCGCGAGCGCGTTCTCGTCGCAGGTGAATGGGATTTGTCTCACGCGTGGCCGTCCCGCTGGCGGGATGCGTTTTTCCCCACCCGCCCGACCCTGCTGCGCGAGCGCACTGGCGTCGCAGTGGCTGCTAGTTGTGTCGAGGCTGGGCTGACCCAGCGCCAGGCTTGGGGGAGGCGTCGGCGAGGTTGCTCGGCTCCGCGACGCCGACTCGCGCTCACCCCACCGCCTGGCCTGGGCCTGCGCCAGTCGACGGTTGTGCCCTGCGTTAGCGCGGGCCCAGCCTCGACGCGACTTCTCGAGCATCTTGTTACCCTCCACGCGGACGTCGTTCTTGAGTTGGGACATGAGGTTGTGGATGTCCTCCACCGCGGCGTTCATGCAGCCGAAGACGGAGATGTTGCTCGGCTCCTTCCAGTTGGTTTTGTTATTGCCCTTCTGGTTGCAGTTGTCGGGCTCGATGTCATCGTGGTAGGGTTTAGGGGAGTTTCTCTTGCCTTTGCCTTTGTTGCCCTTGTCGTGGCAGCCGTTGCTCCAGTAGGGGTCGGGGTGGTTGTTGGCCCACTGCTCCGCCCACTAGTTGTTCCTCCAGCGTTCGAGGCCTGATCCAATCGTTGGTGGAGTGGGGCCTGGTGTCGGTCCTCTGCTTGGAGTGCGGCTCGAGTGGACTCCAGGATGGTGGCATAGTTCCTGAGCCACTCGCGGTTGGTCCCCATGGTGCTGCCATTGGGGTTAGAAATTGGCTGTACAGGCATAGGAATGAAAGGATGAAATGGTGAAGGATGCAGAGGTCTCAATTTCGCATGGCCGGTCGATCGGCGCACTGCCACTGACACGCCTCAATCGCTTGGGGGTTCGTGGTTTCCTCCTCCTCCTCCTCCTCCTCCTCTTCCTCCTCCTCTTTTTCCTTCTCCTCCTCCACCGCTTTTCGTTGTGTTTGCCCACCCCCTCGGCACAGGCTTCAAGGCGGTGCGCAAGCTGAGACAACACTTCTCCTCGTACGGCACCGTCGTCCGCATGCTGGTCGCGCACTCCACGGTGAACCTACGCAGCGGCGACCAGGCCTAGGGAGATCCCCCGCCTCATTCCCTCCTGGGGCCAGGGGGGAAGGGGAAGAGGGAGGGAGGGGGAAAAGCGAGGAGAGGGGTGGGGGTAAGAGGGAGGGAGGAGGGGGAGGGGCGGGGGGGGGCGGAGCAAGGAAGGGCAAGGTGGTAGGGCGAGTTGGGGGGGTGGGCGGGGGGGGCAGCCGGGAGGGTGGAGGTGGGGGAGGGGCCAGTGAACGGGAAGAGCGCCCAAATCAGTAATAAACCTGTTTTGAGAAATCAATGATTTGGGCCTCTAGGGGTCCTCTTGGAGCCGTCTTGGGCGTCTTGGGGGCATCTTGTGCCGTCTGGGGGCCATCTTGAGCGTCTTTGAGCGCTCGTTTGGCGACTGGGCTCTCTTGGACCGTCTTGGGGACATCTTGGGGCCTTCTTGGCCTGGGCCCCCCCTGAGCACGACAAATTCAGGCGATAACATTTCCCGGAACCCAGAGGGCACGCGGGAAGCCCCAAGAGATTTCGAAATAGGGAGTCGGGGCCCCCTGAGGACTCCTCAGGGGTGAGGATTGGGGCCAAGAGGATTAGGGAATGGACCTGAGGACACGCCCATTCCGTGCCCAGAGACACGGTGGCGGATAGGGAGGATCGGACGCATGCAGAAGGAATTGAGGACGTGGTAGACGGCAATGTTAAACAGCTCAATCAATTGTTCTTGAAACGCATACGTAATAAAAATGAGCAGAGCTCAGAACCACATCCACTAACATTTGTGTTGTCGTTGATCATTTTCTAGTTGGGACTTAAACTGAGTTCCAACACGCCGAGTTAAAACTGTAAAACATGCCCAGGGCCTGTTTTAGAATAGCCAAGTGCGCTAGATATCGACAAGGCCTTCTGGCCAAAGCCGCCGACCTTGGGAGATGACCGCCATGATGAAAGAGGCAGCGGGAGGTGTTCTGGAAGGTCGGAAGCTGACGCTCCCAAGAGCCCTCTAGAGGCTTCACGTGGCTCTCGGGAGGCGCCCACGAGACCCCATGATGTTGCCTGGAGGCCTCTTGGGACACCAGTGGTCAGAGAGCTTCTTCGGGGGGCCTCTCGGGGGTTTGCTGGCGGTCTCGAGGACCGATCTGTGGGGCTGTGTCGTCACCGAAGATTACGGTGGTGGCGTTGGCCAAGAAATGTGCCCAGGAGGCTTCAGACCCCGGGGGATTCCTTGTCTGATGAGGGCGGCAGTGTTGTCCATGGCCGATCCACGATCGGAGTTCCGCTGGTTTCCAGACCCTGGACTCCTTGGCTGAGGGTTCCGTATCCAATGCCCACACCGTATCCCGTGCTTTCCCCGGACAGGCTCTGGACAGGCCAGTGATTCCGGCCGTTCAGGACAAACAGGTTGTTCTGAGCTTCTTCGGGGGCCCTCTCGGGGGTTTGCTGGCGGTCTCGAGGACCGATCTGTAGGGCTGTGTCGTCACCGAAGATTACGGTGGGGGCGTTGGCCAAGGAATGTGCCCAGGAGGCTTCAGACCCTGTGGGATTCCTTGTCTGATGAGGGCGGCAGTGTTATCCATGGCCGATCCACGATCGGAGTTCCACTGGTCTCCAGACCCTGGACTCCTTGGCTGAGGGTTCCGTATCCAATGCCCACACCGTATCCCCGGGATTTCCCAGACGTGCTCTGGACACAAGCCGGTGACTCCGGCCGTTTCAGGGCAAGCGGGCTGCTTCCTGGACAGCTGTGTGAGCTGACGTCTTTGGGGGGCCCTGGCGGCCGATGGGGTAGATGGCGAAACACACACACACAAATATGTGTATATGTATAAATATGTGTATATATATACATACAAACAAGACTGCAGTGGCGCTTCGCGCCATGCACCTTGGTCCTTGAAGTTTGGCATGCAGGCGGAATAGCAGGAAGGTCAAGCCGACAATTTAGCGATAATTCCTTGTTGCCTTTTCTGGCATCGCCGCTATAAAAATGTTATTCGTTATCCTTCCTCCATGCGTCTTTTTCCTCATGTTCGCCATACCCTGCGCATTCTCCCCATCCTCCTCGGCTCTTTTTGCGGAGGCTCCTCCTTGGAGAGCCTCTGGGGGCCTCGCAAAAGTTATGTCAAGCTTTCTTAAGGCCTCGTGGAGGCCTCTTGGGTGTGTTCTGGGGGCCTCTGGGGGCTTCCTCGGGTCGCCCTGCCTCCAAACGCGGTCTCACTGAACGACCGGGTCACGATTTGGAATGCTTCGGAGGGTGTCTTGGGGCCATCTTGGGCCGCCATGGGGCTCTCTGAGGGCCATCTCGGACCCCTGTTGTGCCGTTTTGGGGCTCTCTTGGTGCCTGGAAGCCCTTTGGAATGGCTATGGGGCGATTTTAGAGCCTCCCAGGCGACTTCGGACGCACAGAAGACCGCCGTCTTGGAGCGTCGGGAAGCCCAAAAGAGGATAACCCCAAAATTAACCAAAAACCAAAAGAAAATCAATGATGGTTGCTTCTTGGGGCCTTCTTGGGAGTGCTCTTGGAGGCCTCTTGGGACGTTTTGGGACGATCTTTGGGGATATGATGGCTTCTTGGGGGTCGTCTTGAGATCACGTCGGTCACTCTTGGAGCGCTCTTGTGCTGTCTTCGGGATCTCTGGGGCGTCTCCGATGACCCCCCCGATCGCCCTAGGTGTGCTGGGAAGGCCTGGCAAAACGCCCTGCGAGGCCCGGGGGGCCGCTTCGAGGCCCGTCAAGAGGGCCCCAAAGCCCCAGATCCCGGGAACCCGGTTTTGGGGGGGGAGGGGTGACGGGTTTTCCCCCCACCCGGGCTTGTAAAAATATACAGGAAGAGGAGTTTATGCACACAGGTATTCTGAAAGGAGGACGGGGGACGGAATCAACGGGAAGAGACTTTTCTTTGCCTCGATGTGCACGGCATTGCTCGAGGCGGCCTTGGCGGCCGAGGGGTGGATGGCGAAACACACACACACACACATGTACACATTGTTAATTTCTAAGTATTCCTGTTTGATTTGTTTGGGGGCCAGGATCCTTGCCTTTCTAGTTCTTAAATCCTGAACCTTTTTCCTGGCCACTGGGGGGCCAGGAACCATTAGAAACGATAGAAATGAAAACGATTAGAAATGAACGACGTGTAATATATATATATATATATATATATATATATATATATATGTATGCACACATCTACTCCGAAAGGAGGACGGGGGACGGCATCAACGGGAAAAGACTTCCCTGTGCCTCGATGTGCACGACACTGCTCGATCTACCTCGGACTGGCGTGCACGAGAAGGAGAACCGAGTGTGATCGCACAGACGAGCGATCTGAACGGCAACCCCTCCCACACGCGCCCACAGGGTCGGCGGACTTGTCCTGCTGAGCGGCCGATCGGGGAGCAGGCCGTCGATGCCAATCTCCAGGGTGGAAGGCAGGGAGGAGTGTCGGGGAGGGGAGAGAGGAGCAGGGAGAAAGAGGGCAGGGGTTTGGCACGTCGTTCAGGAAGAGGGGGGAAGGCCATGCTGCCGCCTCGGGTCCTGACCCCCAAGGTCCCCAGAGGTCTTCGGAGGCCTCTGTCAGCCTGCGGAGGTCCCCAAATGGCCAGCAAGGGCCAAAAACGTCCGAAGGCCTCTCCCAGATCGACTTTCGATGGTCGAGGGCAGGAAGTGTAGAGTGCACGTAGGAGTGACCCTTCGCCGGAGTGGCCTTTGGTGCGCGGCAGGTCACCGGATGGCTGATCGAGCAGCGGTAGCAGCGGCTTGCGCGCCCGGGTTTGACCACCCCGCGTCCGCCGTGAAGTCGCGCGCCAACGGTCACTTTTGCCAAGGGTCACTCGTACGGTGGAAGTCCGTGCCAAAGAACACCCTGCTTGCCTCCAGGGTGCCCTTGGTTTCTTGGGTTTCGATGATTCGTATATGGAAAGCGTGACGTTCCCACACCCAAAATCAATGGACGTCCTGGGGTCTCAGGGTTGGGTCTTTTGCGGAAGGTTTCTTGTGGTCGAGCTCCTACTGTACGTGTAGCCAGAGTTGGCAGGAGGCCCGTGCGATCCGCCCGAAGGCCATACGCCAGCGGCCCAGCAGCCTGGGATTCCTGCACATGTCCGCCCCAGACGCGGCGCAGGCGATCCTGGCGCTGGGGCCCGAGCAGGAGCCCAGGAGGAGGAGGGGGAGGCGGGAGGAGGGAGGAGGGAGGAGGCGATGCCGATCTCTGTAATATATTCCCATCTTAATTGTCTCACACCAGGGATGGCTAACCCAATAGAATCTGGCGGTCCCAAAGGCCCCGGAGGCTCTTCTCTGGCCCGTCCCTGAGGGCCCCAAAAGGGCTCCAGGAGAAAACCGGAAACAGTCCACGACGGCCCCGAAACACCAGATATCCTTCCCAGACGCCCAAGGTGCCCCCAAGACAGCTTAAGAGGCTTCCAAGACGCCCCAAGAGGCGGCCAAGAAGCTTCCTAAGAGGGCCCCAAGAGGCCCAAATCATTGATTTTCCATAAGAAACCGTGTATTTTCAGCATGTGCGACTTTTCGCCCTTTACGGCGTCGGCGACGGCCCAAGATGCCCCCAAGACCGCCCCAAGACGGGCCAAGAGGCTCCAAAGAGGCTTTCCAAAACGGCCCAAGAGGGCGCCAAGACGGCCCCAAAAGGGTCCCAAATAGGCCAAAGAACCCCAAGAGATTCCGAAAACCACTAAAGGGACCCAGAGACGCCAAAGAAAAGAGCGATCGGTAGCCCCCAAATCAACCCGACAAGGAGCACTAAGAAGGCCCATAGACGCCAAAGAAAAGAGCGATCGGTAACGTGAAAGCTCTTCACACCAAGGCTGCCAAGAGCGAACGGTGACATAACAAACTCTGACAACCAAGGCTACACTCGTCTCGCGCACCATGCAGTAGGACACCATCCCAGCCAATGCAGAACGCTCAACCAGGAGGCAAACATCGGACGACAAAAAATGACGGAGAGATTTTTGGAACAGTTCCCTGGCTAAGCCTTTGCATCGCACGCTCCGAGGCACAAGGCCGATTCGTCTCTGGGGCTCCATGTGGCCCTTCCGAAACCGAGCAAAGACGACGGCAACGTCGACCCAAACCAACCCAAATGCCGAAAGGCCCCCAAAACTGTTCCAGAAAACCGCGGGCCACTTCTAGATGACCGACGACGGCGACGACGGCGACGACGACAACGCCGTCGTCGCCGTCGTCGAACGCGCACCCCTGTTTCCATCACCCCACGTGCTTTGCCGGTTCTTGCAGCCCCATTGACCTGCACATGTAGCTGCGCCTCGGCCCAATACGCCTGTCTGTCCTCCCCCTTTGCCCCTGACAATGCATTACACCAAGACTTTAAAGCGAAGCGCAGCGAGCTTCAAGTCTTGTATGTATGTATACACGCATGTGTGTATATACACATACATACACACGTACTTACATTCCCCCATACATACATACATACATACATACATACATACATACATACATACATACAGGCATGCATATACACATACATGCATACATACACATAACCTGCATACATACATACATGCATGCACACAAACTTACATTCATACATTCATGCGTACACATGCATACGTACGTACACATGCATGCAAACATGCATTCATACATGCATGCATAAACAAACATACACATGCATACATCCATACACGTCACGCACATACATACAAACATACACACCTACATACATACATATATACATACTACTCTAGCCCTGGCTCGACCCAGGCACCTTCATTTCACTTATCCAGACTAGGTCCCAGGCAATAGAGGCTGCTCCTGGAGCTGGCGCTGCTGGCGGTGCTTCCACTGTTGCCAGCCTTGGGGGCGCTGGGAATCCTGATGGGATCGCCGACCGAGCGCCTGCCACCCCGCGTGCTGCTACCGAAGACCGCATTCAAGGCCGAGACCCCTGGCGTGAATCTGCTGGAGGCAAGCGATACCGACGTGAAGGCACCTCCTCCGACAGGGGAAGTGCGTCGCTCAACTCCGCCGACCACCTCGGGCGGCCCCATGGACGCCGTCAGCGCCGCCATCCAGGCTTCATTGGATTTCCTCATGGCACAGCTGGACACGAAGCTCGCAACGATCAGGTCAGAGGTCACCGCGGAGTTCGGCGCGCAGCTCAAGGGCCTCCTCGGCGCCGCCGTGGGTCAGCAGCAAAGACAGAACGAACAGTTCATGGGACGAATCCAAGCACTCAGCGCCTCCACTTCAAAGCTCGAATCCGGTCAAGCAGAGCTCCGCGCCCAAGTTCAGGAAATGCGACAGCGGCGTCGCATGCAGGAAGCCCAGATCCCCATCAAGGAATACGAGAATCTCGTCGAGGGGGACAGGCCCGCGGACACCAGTATCATCGTTGGCACGGCGTCAGAGAACTTCACCGCGGAACAGGTACAGGTCAAACTCAGCATCAAGCTCGTCATTGACAGGTGCGAGTTCGATAACGGCGCCTGGGAAGTGGTCGGACAGAGTCTTGCTCGGCGCGTCCTCATCCAGTTCAGTGGCGACGCCAACGCCTCCGGCCGCAAGGTCCGCACGTTCTACAGCAAGCTCATGGGACTCGGCGGGGCCTGGCTCAACGCGGAGGTCATCAACGTTCACGGCAACGCCGCCAGGCTCTTCTTCGGTCTGGACCGTTCGGGCATGACCTCGCGCAGGGAGTTCCAGACGAAGAAGATCTCCCAGTTCTGCAGGAAGCAGGGCGACACCATGCGCTGGCGAGCGGATTGGCGGCAGGGCATCGTGCGCTGCAACAACCTGCCCGTCCTCTCCATTGTCGCGGGCGCCACCAAGGAGGACGCCACGCGCCCCCTATTCAACTGCGACGGATGCCTCAAGCACAGGATCAATACATCCGCAATTAATTCGAACAATTATTCCAAACCTCCTTGGAGGCGCAGAACGTCCAGCGGCGGATGTAACAAGACCTTGGCTCCCTGGCGCGGAGCGGAGCCTACTGGCGCGATCTCGTTCGCCGCGTGGAACACCCGAACCCTCCCCTGCCAAGAGCCGATCAAGCGCAAGAAGAGGGTTGCTCACGTGCTGCACGCGCTCAACTCGACGGCGGCACTGGCCCCGCAAGAGGTCCACGGTTCGGAAGCGGGGCGCAACCGCGAGATACATTTGGCGCACAACATTGCTGCCTGCTCTGCCTCAATTCCTGAGCGCGGCCCCGGAGGCATCGCCCTGCCGACTCATGGTCTCACTCGGGAGGAGGCCTGTCAACCTGAGCGTTTCCGACACTCGGGGCCCATCCCTGGCCTCGTGCAGCGGCCACTTCTTAAATCGAAGCAGTCGCCCAACGGTGACGGATATCTCTCGAGCATGACTGCGATTTACAAGGTGCACAGCGCTAAGCTTTCGGAGGACCCGGTGCGCCAAACGTTTGGCCCCATCCGCGCCGAGCTCAGCATCGCGGAGCAGCAGCCCGAGCGCGTTACGGTTCTTGTCATGGGCGACTTTAACTTCACGGACGAGGCCCCGCTGGAGCTGACCGCCCCGCTGGCAACGAAGGACTTTCTCGGCGCCGCAACCATCGACCTCGACGTTAACTTCTTTGGGAGTAAGCACTGGGAACCATAGTAAAGGTTGACCCAGGGGCCCCCACGCACTGCGCTGAACACTCGCAGCAGCGCGCGCGCATCGACAAACTCTACGTCGGCTCGCCTCCCTGGGCGCTCGCGCAGTGGCGCGCGAAGGTGGGCGCCCCGACGCCCCCCGATGCGCTCCTCGATAACGGCGCCTCCGATCGTGCACCTGTCCACACTCGGCTTGCTGCGCGGGCGCGCGGAGGCGAGAGCAAACGGAGACGCTTCAGCAGGAGGAGCAGGCGAGATACGCCCCCTTCCACGAGCGCCAGAGGTTCCGCAAGATGCAGAGGGCCATCCAGAAGCGCGGCAAGCTATGGGCCCCCTCTGTCAAGGCATTCGAACTCAAGTCGATCGATGTGCTGCGCGACCACAGCGCCACGGAGACACCGTCTGCCATGATTGCGGAGCTCCGCCGTCAGCGGGCGCCCGTTGTTCGCGCGAAAGAGAGCCGCGCTGCTCATGTCCGCCGCGACCCCGAGAAGCACGTCGCCCCCTGCGACTGTGCCCAGATGGGCATCGCCACGCTTGGCAAGATGCAGGCCCTCCATCGCGATCTGAACAACGCGGCCCCTTGTCCTGACGGCATTCGACACATGTCATGGAAGCGCATTCCCTCGGCAGCGCAGGTGCTGCTGGATGTCACCACTGACGTGATGAAGGGAGACCCTGTCTCGCTGGACTTTACGGACTCGCGGATGATTTTCATACGATGGCCTTGCCGTTGCTCGCCTGGCCAAAGCAACGAGGCCAATATCCTTGAACAGCGCGCATTGCAATATCGCCGCCTCGATGGGCATCGAGCCGTTGGAGCCAATCGCCGCTCAAGGCGCCCACGGTGCGCAGAAAGGGTTCCTCCCGAAGCGCCGTTTCATCGAGCGCGCGGCCGCCGTGGACGCGCAGTCCCGCATCGTGGCCACGCAGGGCGAGGCGAGGTCCAAGGGCCCGCTGATGGTGCTATCCGACTTCGGCGACGCGCCCTTTCGATGCGCAGAGAGCGGCTGAACGCGACCCTCGAGATCGCTGACTTCCCCGAGAGCATGCGCAACGTGGTCGACGCGGTCTACCTCCTTCCCGTGGCGCACGCCAACTTGGGCGGTGCCCTGGAGGTCTTCTGCACCCTCGCCTCTGGCATCCTGCAGGGCTGCCCATGGTCCGGCACGCTCTGGGCCGTTGGCATGGACCCGCTGACCAGAGACATGTGCTCGAGAACAGCTCACTTCAATGGCGCGTCGATCGGCGTCTGCGCGGGTGACGCGGGCTGTGTGCTTCCGACCTTGGAGACGTTTCGCCCACTGCGGCACGTCTTCTACGCGGCCGAGGTGCTAGCGCGCCTGGTGTTGAAGACGGCAAGTGCGAGATCATCCCCCTGGCGGAGGCCTTCTCACCGTTGGTTGAGAGCAGGATCCGAGATAAGATCGTCGACCTGGTCCCCCGCTGACAGGGCATGTCGATCACCGACATGGCAGAGCACCCCGGGGTGCCACTGGGCCCTGGCGTGGACGACCTGACGCGCTTGCAGAAGGTAGTCGAGGGCTGGCAGCGCGCAGCCAGCCTGATCGCGGACGACGGTGCGCCCACAAGCTCCTCCCTGAGAATGCGCAACCAGCGCGCCGTCAGCAAGACCTCCTACCTGAGCCAACTGTTCCTCTGGCCGCCCAAGATGAAGCGGAAGGAATCGCGGGCGCCCAACCGTGTCTGGCATGTCCCCCCACAAGCATTTCCTCGTGATGCTATTATGGCGTTGGGTCGCTGGCCGCCCCCGAAAACGGTGTCGCTCGATTTGAACAACCGCGCGGCTCTGATGCGCAGCGCCCTCGTCACCTTCCTGAACTGGTCGTTCTGGGCTCGTCGGTTGCGTGGGGCGGCGGGGAAAACGCTCTCCCTCACCGTGCTCCCGCGCGGTATGTCCGCGCCGCCCCGCTGGAAGTCCAAGCCGATCGCCCGCGCGTTTGGGTCGGCTGCCTCGGGCTTCACACGTGACAAGAATGGGAAGCTGGCCACCGCTTGCGGCTCTGCTGTGCGTGAGTGGCGCGCGGAAAGGACACGCCCCCTCGCTGCGCGCCCGAATGCTCGCCTTCGCATGCAGAAATTCGTCCATTCTAACCTCGTCACCTCGACCATCCTCACTCGCCTCAGATCCTGGGCAGTGCCGCCTGGAAAATTCACTATCCGGCAGGTCGAATGTGAGCCGCTCGAAGTGTTTTTCTCCGCTGCTTCTCCCCCTGCTGCTCACTCCGCCCTCCTCAAGACTTGGGCGGGCGGGTGGGCGACGAGCCGCTGGCGGGCCATGCTTTTGCGGTTGCTGCCTGTCAGAGGATCCTGGCGCCCTGGATGCCATGCCTGATTGCGTTCATTCCTCTCACCTCTGGCACACTGTCTGCAGCGCGCGGTTCATCCGCACTCCTGCCCCTGAAGCGTTGCCTGCTCGTCTCGGTCTTTGCAGCGAAGGCGCAGACAGGCACTCGCGGCGCTTAGCATTGGAACCCACCATCGTTGCTTTTCATGCTTACGACATAGAGTCGAAGCTGAGCCCATCCCAGTGGCCTCGGCCCGTTGCTGCTGTGGAGAGCGCCCGTGCTGCGAGGGCGATGTTCCTTGCAGCGTATAGGCCTGCTGTACAGTAGTCGTTGGACGCAGTTCCCTGCGGGGCCACGAGGGATACATGCATACACATACATACATGCATGCATGCATACATGAATCCATACGTACAGGCATGCATATATATATATATATACATATATATATATAATATATATATATATATGCATATATATATATATATATATATATATATATATATATATATATATATATATATATAATGCGTGCATGCATATATCCATCGATCTATATATATATACATATGTATATAGAGAGAGGGAGAGGGAGAGGCAGATAATTGCGGCACTGCATGTGGCGATGCTTCAAGCAACGCCCGGACGGTCGTAGCATGTGGCACACATCGTTGGCATTCTCTGAGTGACTCTCATTGGGGTTGGCTTGGGTTCCTGTGAGGCTGACCGTCGGGGGGCCCTCGTGGGATCCTCTTGGCCCGTTTTGAGGCCCTCTTGGGTCGTCTTGGGCCCTTCTTCGCCGTTTGGGGGGTCCATTGAAGCTCCCTGGAGGCCTCGTCTGGGCCCCTTTAGGCCGCCCTTGGCTCTCTTGGGCCCCTCTTGGGCCGTCATGGGGCCATCCTAGGTCTGTCCTTGGCCGCCTGGGGAGCTTATTGGGGCCCTCCCTCACTGAGCTCGTTGAGCCGATGGGCCCGAGAAGCCAACCACATTGAACGCATAAACGATGTCCATGAATGATATCGGCCTTGTTGGTGGGCCTCTTGGCCTTCGACTTGTGCTTGGCCCGCCCCCTGGCCCAAACCGTGGTCATTCCTCTTGGAAGGATCCTTATTCGCCAGAGGGGCTCCCATGCAGCGCCCCGCAGAGAAGCTCGCGCGCGCCTTCACGAGGCCCCAAGAACCTCAGGCCTGTGCTACTTCTACACTCAAGGTGTTTCTGGTCCTCCTTGTGTGGCTTTTCATCGGGCCATCTGGTGCTGCAGCCTTGCCTGGCTCTTCTCATTCTCCTCCAGCTCCTGCCCCTGCTCTCCCTCGCGCTCCTCCTCCTCCTCCTCATTGTCCTCATCCATCCATTTCCTTATACATGGCTCCTCCATGTCGCGCGCCGAGACGCGAGGGCGGGCCGGGGGGGTCGCCTGAGATTTCCGCACCACTTATGCCCCTTAATCTGAGACCGCGCGGTAGTTTCACGGATTCAGGGCGGGTCGTGCTCCAAATGTGATTATCTATTTGGCGGCGCGCACAATCGCATTCTGCAGTTGCAAGAGCTTCGCGGATGGAGGGTGGGTCGTTTTCGAAATGTGGCTTTTGTTTTAGCGACGGCATCGTTTTGATACATCGCAAGAGCTTCGCGGATGGAGGGCGGGTCGTTTTCAACATGTGACAATTCTCGCCTGAGCGCAGCGCACATTCGTTTTAGACGCTTGCGAGAGCTTCACGCATGGGGGGCAGGTCATTTTCAAAATGCGGCTGTCGCCTCATCGACGACACTCGTCTTAATACTTCGCAAGGGTTTCACGGATTGAGGGCGGGTCGTTTTCTACATGTGACTCTCGGCTGAGCAGCGCGCACATGCGTTTGTAAAAAAGTTGCAAGAGCTTCACGAATGGAGGGCGGGCCGAATTCAACATGTTGTTATGCTTGTTTGTTTTATGTATATATATATATATACACATGGATTCTCTCTCTATGTTGTCAGCGCCGCGCACATTCGTCTTGACCGTTCACGAGAGCTCCACGGATGGAGGATGGTACTTTTTGAACATGGCGGCTCTCGCCTCAGCGCCGCGCACATTCGTGTTTTCTTTCTTTTTGATTTAAGAAAGCTTACACCACGTTCAGGGATTCTTAGTGACTGGCGTCCCAGAGATGGTGTTTGGGCGCGATGTATGATTGTCAGGGAGCAACCGTTTCCTTGATTCGCCGTGGTGAAGTCCCAGGAATGGCGTTCTGTCACGATTGAGGATCGCCTCGACGCACCAGTAGCGCTGATTCGCGGCGCTGAAGTCCCAGAAAGGTGCTCTGCCACGGTTCAGGATTTTCAGGCAGCTGTCTTCAGTGAAAGCGAGTCCTTGTACGGACCTGTGAAGAGGGAGCTTGGAGGTAGCGTTCACTGAAACATCATTGATGACCTTTGGAATTGCACTGGTACTCCCGCTTCTTCTCCTGCTTCCGCTCCTCCTCCTCCTCCTCCTTCTCCTCCTCCTCCTCCTCCTCCCCCCCTCCTCCTCCTCCTCCTCCTCCTCCTCCTCCTCCTCCTCCTCCTCCTCCTCCTCCACCACATGCTGTTCGGACCCTTCTCCTTTCTTTGGAATAGGACTTGTTTTGGGTCCGCATGCGTATCATACGAGCTTCGCTCGACGCCCTCCTGGCCGAGGAAAAGCAAGCGAATGAGTCACTTGTGCACGTGTGTAGAGGTGGTAGGCGCCGACGGGGGAGAGTAGGCCAGCCTCCACCCATCGTCGTGCCGTCGCCGCCCTCAGCTTCTTCTGCTTCATTTTTTGAGACTAGCCATGCCTTGGATGATTCAGGGCGTCGCTGCCGCCGCTGTCGGGGCTCAGCCGCTGTCTCTCAGGTCCGAGCTTGGCGTCAGTCAGAATGTTTTCGGCTGATTTCTCTCAGTGGCTCCCTTCGAGGATTTCCCCAGGGGGCGAGGCTTCACATTGCTGGGGGGTGGGCCCACCCCTCCCACAAAATGCGGTTGCACCAGGACCTCGATGTGTGGTTCTACGCGTGTTTTGGCATGTATGGGGATAGGCAGTTGCTCGGCCTCGGTCGTGAATGCCCAATGTGGTGTCTCCCACGCGTGCCGAGTATTTGAAGCGTTTAGAGTTGAATCTGTTCCCCAAAGCTTACAGTAAGCGGGAATTGGAGCATAAGGCCCACAAGGGGCTTTGAGGTGGATCTCTGGACTTCGTCCTGGCACTCCTGACTCCTCCTCCTCCTCCTCCTCCTCCTCCTCCTCCTCCTCCTCCTCCTCCTCCAAGCCACCGCCCCATGGTGC